AATAGCAAAATCACTGTAAAATAATATAGTTTTCACTTCTAATATACCGATGTTATATAAATGCTTGAGTGAAAATGACAGTGAGTTTATGTTACTAATTTATTTATTCACTATTTGATTTATGTAAATATATGTCGGAAACCGTAAGAGATATAGACAATTTAATGATGAAATATGTTTTGGATATCAAGCCGCAATTTCATTATGTCTTGATGGAATAGCGTCGACAGACATAATCTCCGTCGAAGTTTCCAGGAATGTCGTAAGTGGCCCTAACTCAGAAACTATAATCCATAGGGATCTAGTGTTTTCATTTTTGGACTCCTTGAAATGTGAACTTAATAAAAATAATGAACCTTTGTCAAACTAGAAGTAGTTTTTTTCCGAACAATACCAAACACCCATATACTTCGATTTAAGGGGGAGGGGCATAAGCTATCAGTTTAAACCTAAAAGTCACTTCCGATTGACAAAAGGTACCTTACAGCCAAATATTTTTTCGACTTAGCCAATATGATTTCGCTATTCGGTTTACTTTATCCGTTTAGACTCATTTCTTAAAAAAAATTGAACAGAATCTTGTATAATGTATATAATTGATATAGTAAGTGAAAAATTGAATTTACCTGTTAATATCGTCCATATTAACACTCATTTTACACTGATTCAGTAGTTGCAACTAACTATGTGAAACATATACTTATTTCCGATTTCTATTTATTATTCTGTCATGTATAAATCAACTTACAAGTTGTTTTTTTTTAACTAAAAGAATTAGTAAGTAAATTTTGTGTATCTGAAAGGATCATTGAGGTAATTGTTGAAATGATATTGACCCATATTCAAGATATTACTTTTGTCTTGTAAAACTGACTAATTAGATCCTGCCAGTTTGATATTGTCCAGAATATTAAGATGAATTGAAACGAAGTCGAACTTGGCTTATACACATATGATACAATTAATGATGTTCGGGCGTTCGTCACCTGTTCGTCAACGTTTTGGATTAAAAATATCTTTAATAAACTGAAATTTGTGCAACAATTTTGTTTCCTATTATTATCTTACGAACCATATGTTCAACTTTTACCAAACTTGGTTTTATAATGCCATATCGGACGAAGAAGTAAACTAGAGGTTACTATATCAAAGGTCACGCTCACTGCAGCTATCAATAGAATGAAATTTCGGCAAAAATTCGATTTCAAGATGTTATCTTTCGAACCATATGTTCAATTTGTACCAACTCGGTTCGACTATTCCCTATGGGACGAAGAAGACTTTCAAAGACCATTAGGTCAAAAATGAAGGTCACAGATGCAATTGAAGGACTAAAATTGGGTCAAAATTTGGTTTACCTGTTATATCTTTTGAACAATAAGTCTGGTCTATAGTTCAAAGGACAAGGTCACAACACCATTTTCAATCATTTAACGCAAATTGTCTGCAGAATGTATAGTATTCATCACCAAACTTACAAAAAATAAGTAGCCGACTCAAAAATCCATAAATATGGCATCTCGAATCATGGTGTAATTTTGGGGATTTTCTAATACACATTTTCGAAAAATATTATTTTGTTTTACTTAAATAAGACATTTTCGATAACAGGATCAAAAGTTTTATTGCATTATTTTGTATTGTATAATACAAGACATTGATATCTTATTTTGTGAGAAAGCTTGAAAGTTATTACAGTCAAAAACTTAAAAAAATTCTGTTTCTAAAACTATGTAGAGGATGCTTTTGTGAAACACATTTTGGTCCTAAGTTGTATTGTCTCTACAACTACGACACAACAGAAACACAAAATTAAAATGTAACACACACAGAAACGAACTATAATGAGCCTGTAATTCAGTGGTTGTTGTTATTTGATGTTTTTCATATTTACTTTTTTGAATTATTGTTTTCCACATAAATCAGATCGTTTGTTTTCTCGTTTGTATTGATTTACATTTTGTCATGTTGGGGTCTTTTTATAGCTTATCATATGCTATGTGTTTACTTAATGGAGAAATTAGTACAGTTTTATTAAGTTGTTTAAACCTACATTGTTTGTTCTCTTGTGGATAGTTGTATCATTGGTAAGCATATCGCATCTTCTAATAATATAAACTGTACCATTTTCTTTTGCACCAGATGTGTATTTCGACAATAAATGTATCTTCAGTGATGAGCGAGGCCAAACTATTTGAAAATCCAGAACTTATTCAAACAATGAAGAGCTTATAAACCAAAAAGTATAGCCAAAGCCGGGCATGTAATTAGAGTTTTGCATGAGGGAGATACATTCCATAATGTTAAATAATTCATAAAATTTTGTAACAGTAAATTAAAATTTTAAAAAGTACTGACTACTGGGCTGGTAATACCCTCGGCGATTAACTGTCCACCAGCATAGGGATCGCCCCAGTGGTAGTATTAACATTTGTTGTACCAATTTTTCTGCAGCAAATAAGCATTTCGACAATAATTTTCTGTTCAGTAATGCTCGAAGCCAAACTATTTGAAAATCCAAATCCTAATTTATATTTTGACAGCCATGTTGATGATATTATTTTCACTGTGACCTTATTGATTTGGTAATTTAACGCAAATTGTCTGCAGATGTATAGTATTCATCACCAAACTTACAAAAATTTGTACCCGACTGAAAAATCCATAAATATCGCAAACCAATTAAAGTGAAGTACAAACATATCAATCATTTATATAACGACATATAATCTTTAGGGTTGTCGCTTATGGAGCAGGATCTGCTAACCTTCCGGAGCAGCTAAGATCACCCCAGACTTCTGGTTGGGTTCGTTTTGCTGCCTTTAGTTTTCTATGTTGTGATTTGCATACTGTTGTATGTCTTTCGGTCGTTTATTTTGTCTTTTGCCATGGCATTGTCAATATAAACACAAGGAGTTCTGGTATAATTGCTAATGTGACAACTTTAAACCAGAGTTCAAATGAAGTGGATGTAAGCAATTATAGGCAACCATACGGCCTTCAACAATGTGTAAAAACCAAACCATATAGTCGGCTTGAAAGGCCCCGACATTAAAAAGTATAAACAATTCAAACGAGAAAACGTACGGACTAATCTATAACAATACAATTTTCTAAAAAAAAAAATATTACAGACCTGAACAAACGATAAACACTGAACCACAGGCTCATGACATTTCTACCACGTATGCAGTGATCCTCTAGAAGAACAAACTTAACAAGCATTGTATAATGTGGTATAATATCGCTAGTACAAACGGAGGGACATTTTGGAAGAACACATACAGTATCCATATGTTACAATGGAGGGACACACAAACCTTTCTTTGACGTTGATGGATCAAAATTAATTACACATATACGTACCTACCATTTCATTAAAATGAAGAGTCATATTGGAAGTAAACACATGCCAACAACTTATAAAAAGAGAAACCTACCATCAATTAGAGACAACAGTAGTTATTCGATGTTCAAATCTCATAAATCCATTATGAAGATACAAATCGAGTTAAAAAAAATTTAGGGAAACGCACAAACCATAAAAGGAGCGAGACTGGATGCGTCGACATGTAAAGCGTCTCCTGATACGCATACATCACCCGCTATGCGAATCCAAACTCAGTCAAAATGTTATAATTCGGAATGTGACACGTCGCAAAATTTAAAGATTAGACGACTTTTCTGTTAACTTAAGATCTAAGAATGCGGAAACATGTCACTAGGAGTTGGGACACAGACACAACATATCGGTCAACCAATTCGTGATGGTGACCGTACAGCTTATGAAGTGTCGATTTCCGTCTTTTTTCCTCATAATTTTGTAGAATTTGTAATTTACTTTTCTAAAATTTCTTGTGCATAATTTAAAAAATTATTAAAAAACTTATGTTCCAACATCTCAGACAAAGAACTTAGATGAATTTGGCTTTTCTTATTTAGGTCCCTCTTTGGTCATATGTCTCCTACTGTTTCTACGTATTTATGCATTCCTGCCTGTGAACTATCTATGGTTGAGCGTTTCTGGTGTAGGTAAATCCCAAAAGCGCTGCGGAATCACGAAATTTTTAATGTGTTATTTTCATCTAGTAGCACTGGGTCGATACCACTACTTGTGAACTGATAGTTCCGAGGGTATCACCAGCTCGGTACTTAGGTTCCAAATCCCCCTCAGGCAAAGTTGACTTTGGTGGGTATAAACAATGTAGCTATTCTTGTTCGGTCCCTTTTTGTCATACAATTCCTAAAATTTATACAGCTTGATGAAGCTTAATTAAGTTGTTTAATTTTCAGTAGTTTTGATGTCAGAAGCTCTATCCTGTTAATAAATTCCGTATTGTGTGAACATGCATGAGCGTGACGTATAAATTGAGATATGTATGCGTAATTGTCCACTTTGGAATACCGACTGTCTGTTAGAGTTAAAGTTCATTTTCGAGGTAAAGTTCAAGTATATTTAAAGTTCAATTTAAGTTTTAAGTTCAACTTTAAGTTAACTTTTGAGGTATAAGATTAGAGTACATAATTGAATTAGAGTTAAAATTAGAGTACAATACAAAATACAGTTTGACTTTGAGTTGCAATACAAGTTAAATGTAGACCACTGGAATAAAATGTAAAATAAGACACTCGGTCTTCTGATGAATTTCACTGCGTAATATAGCGGTTGATATAGATGTTCATGTCAATAAATGTGTACTGCAAGGCCTTCTAGTTTCAGTTCCGTTAAATGCTGTGGTTGTTAGCTTTAAAAAAAGAGATAGAAATTCGGAAACCTTAATAGACTTAGTTGTGTTAGAGTCTTTGTGCAAACAGCTGGGTATATGAAACCACAAAATTTCCATTACACGTGCGAGTTAGCTTGATATATTGTATAGACACGTGTCTCTTGTTAAAGACTGTTACTTATATCTTTTTTTTTATGTCTTTAGGTTGATGTCTCATTGATGTATACCCCACATTTATTATTGATACTTACTCAACAGAAACATCATAGATGGTAGGACTACTTAGAGCTTTTAATTTGAAAATAACGAGCTTGATGAGTTGTCTGGAAATAAATAAATGGTTTTTATTTGTTATTTCCAGATACGAATCAACATATACAATGCAAATTAAGACCTGTACAAAGAATAAAAACACATGAAACATTCAAATCTGTAAAATATAACGAAAGGAAACCAGAAAATTTCAGTATTTTCTATATGTATTTCGCTGTAGTAAGCTGAACCTCGGAATTTGTAGATATATGGAGCTACGAGGAATGTATCTGAAATCCAATAACCAAAATTAATTAGGCCAATTAGTAGACACGTATAATGAACTGACAAAAACCGTGATCTGGAAGATGTTATTGTGTATTTTGTCATCTGCAAAATGTATACGGTTTGGAGATACATGACGATAATCGTAAAGATATCTGTTGTAATTAATAAACTTCGATACGGACGTAATTGTGTCATCAAGTGCAGAGTAAAATATCCCGTCGTTATTATAAAACTAAGAATGAACAGAACAGTACCGATTTCGAAAGAGGTTTTCTCTTTACACGGCCTACATTGATGTTGCACAGCATGGAAGCATATCACAAGAGCAAGTAGTAAAATAACATGTTCAAGTATTGTAGTTATAGCAAAACTGATCCAGAAAAAATCATTTCCTAAATTTCCATTTATTCTGAGTACATGAATCACTAGTACAGGTAAGCATACCATCCCGCTTATTAGTACAATACACAATGTTGCCCCTATCCTTCGTGCATCAGCGTCTGATCTACATGATATGCTACTTTGGCTTTTTAACAATGTTGTCATTTCTGACGCTTCAAACGATTCATTACTATCTTCTTCTTTATTACGTTGCTCATTCGATGTCTTCGGCCATATTCCAGACAAAAATATCAAGCTCAGTAGCGGGTACTCAGCGAGCATTGGTTCCGTAAAAGGTCTTGCATTTTGAAACAGTTGAATTATGGAAAATGATGAGTTACTTTCCGAGCATCGATATGTGGTGTTTTCCGCAGAATCTGTAGACAGATCGTGTTCCCAAGTAGCTTTATATGTCCAAGAGGAAATATTTGTCGCTACAATTATGATCAAAGCATAAAAGGTAAACAAAGATTTCACAAATGTATATTTACAAAAATGATAGATAAAACATGTTTGTACCAGATAAAATAAAAGACACGAAATATCATATAAAATGGCTACACCAAGACTATCGTTGATACGGACATACACCTTGCATTTGATAAGGGCAGCTATCTTAAGGATACGATATACTACGCATCCCAGAAAAAACAAACATAAAAATTTCAACTTAAGGGATTTGCTTTTATCGTGAGATTCAATGTCTAAGATACATCTTTTTCTTATGTGTTCTCGTATACCGACTGAGATACAAGACACAATTCCAAGGCAGCTCAATAAAATCAGAAGTGGTCGGGAGATATCAGGTGCTGTTTTGCTTTTTTGCTGATATGAATTGCAAATGTACATTATTTCAGCTAGAATGACTACTAAACTGGTGAGCATGATTAGTCCAGCGATACTCCCATCATGGGAAATGTAATTATAGTGCATTTCCTTCTTGAAGTTCCCCGCTGTCAATGGAAGAATAAACATCGCTTTACACCAGTCTTTTGCTTTACTCATTCTGATTATATATTCACAACCTGAAAAAATACAGTGTATACAGATATATATGTATATATATATAGTGTAAGGTACTCAAAGCAATTTTGCTCAGGTTAAAAAGATTTGATCAATTCACCTTACGTTCACCCTAGTCCGACCTGAGCAATTTTGGTTTCAATATCTATCAATTTTTAAAACAGCTCTTGGTAAGAAGAAATTGGACATCAACCAAGACAAACTTCGTATAACAGCTTGATGACTTTAATTGTAATGCATTTAAATATATTACCGTTACAATATAATAGTATTTTTTCAGAGATATTTGAATTCCTTTTGTATCTGATATGTACTATTTGGGGGTAGAACCTGTCAATTACCACGGCCGCATTCAAAATTATTGCCGTAACACCTATAGTTTTACATTTGTTTCACCGTTTTGGAGCATTCCTTCGATTAAAACAAACGGTTATTTTTGCCTATCTTATAGGGCACGTATCTTTTTTTCATAGACTTGGTCAATAATATGGTAAGGTATCATATTGCTCATTTTGAAAGTTGATAGCTGCTGTTTGTACAAGAATATGTCTCCAGAATCAATTCAATTGTCAGATATTCGTTAATGAGTTACCAAATGAACTTAAAAAACACTTTACTAATTAAGTGCGTTCGTGGCGTTTTCTTGATTTACTTTCATCAGGAACGCTCAAATCCAACCATTTGAAAACCAAGTATGTATAGAAAGAGAAGCCAATGATACCAAAGGGGCATTCAAACTCATTTCAAAAATAAACTGACGACACCATGGCTAAAAAGGAAAAAGACCAACAGACAAACAACAGTACACAAAACACAACATAGAAAACTAAAGACTGAGCAACACGAACTCCACCAAAAAATGGGTGTGATCTCAGGTGCTCCGGAAGAGTAAGCAATTCCTGCTCCACATGTGGCACCCGTATTGTTGCTCAGGTAAGTACAAAAACGGTGATAAGTCTAATTTGGTAGGTCACATTCGGGGAAGAGGAGAGACGGGATTGTAGTTACGACAATTGGAACATATCCGTCGTCATCTGTGAAACAGATATTCCATAATGGTCAACCATCTCGTGATGGGGTCCATAAAATTTACGAAGGGACGATTTCTACTTCTCCACTTGGAACTCGCGGTTAAATAGCTTCCTTGTGAGCGGTAAACCTTTTTTAAGGAAATCATGATAGGAAATACAAGCTCTGGAATATCAACTGGGAGACATATACTCCGTGTGCAGGCGCTGCTGGAATGTTGCTACATAAAAATGGAAAGTTCACAATTGGGAAGCTGAAAGCATCTCTTTTGTCGTAAAGATTTGTTTTCAACCGACCCTAATTGTCAATTTCTAGATGTAAGTCAAGATATGAGACAGACTTAACTGTATCTGTTGTATCCTTTATCTCAAGTTCGATGGGATAGATGCGTTCACTATAGTCACCACACTTTGAATTATTTAGCTAGAGAACATCATCTTTATAGCGAAAAGTGAAGTTAAAGGATTTGTACTTGCATGAGAAGAGGAGCACAGTTGGTTCCCATGGGAATGCCGATTCTTTGTTGAAAAACACGTACCCAAACGTAACAAATATTATGTCAATCAACAAATCAAGCATCTAGAAAATGTCAGTTTCATAGGATTTTTTTTTGTTTTTGAATCAGAGTGAAATTTTTACAATGTACGATTTATCTCTCCCGAAGACATGATACTTGAAACTACGTTGGCCACTCTTTTTTATGAAAATAAGCAGGACCAATTAAGACTTGAACACGTGAAAAGCTTTATGACCAAGAGTGAGCTGACAAATAGCCCTATTCATCTAAGGTCAACTTTACCTGAGAGAGTTGGAATCTTGATTCTGGATAATTTTTTAATCTATCAACAACAAAATAACACAATAACACGTATGAAAGGCATCTACTTTTTTTCAATTCATAAAAACTACATGTAAATCACTCGAATTTCAGAAAAGTAAAGAATAAATTGAATTCTTTGTTGATGGCAGATCTCTGTGACCGCTAACTGTTTGTTGTCCATTATTGCACTTTATGTTGATGGTAGATCTCTGTGTCCACTAACTGTATGTTGTCCATTATTGCACTTTATGTTGATGGTAGATCTCTTTGTCCACTAACTGTATATTGTCAATTATTGCACTTTATGTTGATGGAAGATCTCTGTGACCGCTAACTGTATGTTGTCCATTATTGCACTTTATGTCGATGGCAGATCTCTGTGTCCACTGAATTTATTATTTTCATTATTGAATTCAATGTTGATGACAAAGCTGTGCATTTATTAACAACGTATCTGCCTCGGGTGATATCGAGCTTTAAATATGGCATAAAACGCCGTCTGTTGATCTGTAGATGTCTTCACCGATCGAATTGTGTTTTTTATTGTTTTTGACGTAGAGTCTTATGTAGACGAAACGTGCGTCCGTCATACAAAATTATAAGCCTGGTATCTTAAATGAGTTTTTTCTATATGATTTTCGATACTATTTACTATTTCGGAGTATAAACACTACCTGTTAGTATCAAACTCGGACTGGACTGGCAATATAAGTTTTCTCTTGATATTGCCCGTTTGAGTTGTAAACGTTAATAAAAAAAATGTTGTTATTGTTGAAATAGAAAAACAATGTCGAATTAACTTGACAAAAACATTTCCTTATTGTTTAAATATGAATTGTACATTGTAAACCTATTGTAAACAAGGAAATTTTAGAACAATTATGATTAATTAAAAGTTCCTCAATTTAAAACAGTTTCGTTCAGAGGCAGGCGGAAAAATAATCAAAATATGTTATGTTGAGTATTCATTCGATTATAAAACAATAATGATGCAGACATCATATTAGTATAAACCGTCTGTGTGGACTATTGGTAGGTTATCAAGCTCATCTTGAGCGCGGGAAGGCGTTGGTAAAATCTCCGGTCGGGTTTAAACTTCTCCGTCAAGCAAAAGACATCTAGGAGTAGGAGAAAAGACTAGTAGGTTCGAGTATAATAATGTGTACGGTATAGTTGTGTGTCTCTTTGAGGACTGTTATTTACCATAACAGTTAGCAGCACGCTAATAACCATGTTAAGAATGTCAATCTTATACCAAGACGTATGGCCAATTTTTCCTGTTTTTATTTCACAGGATCAAGTTCGAACGTTTTTAAGAGTCCATATACCTTTTTTGAAATAGTTTCAACAATTTTACATAAATCGATAATATCTCATTATTCAGTTCAGTGCTACATTTGACTGTTAAAGATAATGTTGATATAATATTAAAAATTTTACATATTTTTGTAAGATATTGGTTTTATGAGAGCTTTAGCCAAAATACATTAATTTTTACTTTCCTTCCAATAGAGTTTTTACTTTGGCTAAAGAATGTTCTTCTCATTATAGATAGATACTCAAACTGCAGTTTTCAGTTTAGGTATTTGATATTTCGATGATATTCTAACGCGTGTTTGAAATAAATTTAAAATGAAATATTTTATGCCAACTTACTTTGTATTTAATATGTTTCTATCTTCACATTAGGTCCAAAGAATATCGTGCAAGTTTTGATGCTGAAAATGAAGATATTTACTTGAAACATTTCCTTATCAGTTATTATTGATTCTTTTGATAAAAAAAACTTCCTTGGTTAGGGTCTGGATGGGGTTGCAGACTAGAAAATATTGGGCACAAAATAGGGGAGTAGAGAAAAACGGGGGGAAAAAGAACAGAAAAATAATGGGGTGCTAAAACATTAGGAATAAAGAACAATGGACAAACAAATAACGAATAGAGAATAATGGCATGAAAAATTAAAGAATACAGAAATGTAGACTCCGTCCAAACCTTTATTACTAAGCACAATAACTAATAATTTATGCAATAATACAGCTTTGCTACACATCAATCGGATGCATTTAGTTTTTCACAATGAAGTAGAAAACCATCACAACTCAGATACTGCCCGAAATACTACCATATCTTTGTGCGCATGTGCACCTTTGAAAGACTAACCATATGATTAAAAATAGCGATCCCATAATCATACCCCACGGTTTACAGTGTCTTCGACCTTATAAAAAAGTTAAAGAGCTAGATTTTATCGTTATGGAATATAAGTGTCATGGATATATTCAAACACTTTCCCCAACTACAATTCTTTCCTCTCTTCCTCCATTGTGACATCACCGAATTTATTCTTACCATGAGCAACATGACGGGTGCCACATGTGAAGCAGGCTCTGTTTTCCTTTCGGAGCAAATGAGATCACCCCCGGTGTTAGGTGGGATTCGTGTTGTTCTAGTTTTCTATGGAGTGTTTTAACTTGTGGACTTGCTTGTCTTTTCGTCGGTTTCTCTTTGACTTATGAGTTTTAAATGTCATTTTGGTATCTTCATCTTTTTTTAAAGCTGACTTACAATCACTAACAACTAGTCAATGAATAAACAGTAGTTTAACGATGTTCAAATCTCATATATCAATAAAGAAAATACAATTGAAGGTAAAAATCAAAAACTGAGGGTATCGCATCAACTCCAAAAGAATCGAGACCGGTGCGTCGACGCGGTAAACGTCTCTTCCGTCATGCGATTCAACACTCGGAAAAAATTTCACAATCAGGAGTAGTGCATAATCTGAACATAATTTACAGATCAAACGACTATTCTTGTAAGTAAAGAACTTAGCATGAGAATGCATATCTCTAGTGAATTGAGACACAAACATATCGTACCGGTTACTTTCAGGCTTTAGGAGTGTCGTTCTACCGAATAACTCTGTTAGATCAGTTTTTGTGTCAAGGGCACACCATGTTGATAAAACCCGTAGAGTGTAACATAAATGGGCCTAACGTATTAATTGAGACACTAGTATGTAAACGCCATAAGACGGAACAGAGGGTTTATTACAACTAAGAAATGGAAGGTTGACAATTGGAATGCTAAAATCATCACGTTTGTTATATATAAGACGTATATGCAAGATCTAATAAATTTAGGACTAATATAAGGAAGGAATTTAATTGTGTTTTTGGTAGGAGCTGTCTACTGTTACTAAAATTTTACAAAAAATGTTTATTTGTGGTAAACATATTATTTTTTAATAAGTAATTGTGAATTTATAAAATCTGCTGTGATTAAGATGTTCTTTCAGTTCATTATTTGATATTCTAACAGCAATTTTTTTCTTTATTCTGAAATATGTTTGTCATATTTAACTATTTTATAAAATCAATGGTAATTTTTTGTAAACTATTAGAAGACTTTGGAATATAAACTCTGTTTATATAATGGACATTTATGTATAATAAAAAAGAGACTTCGTTGAACGATGATTTCCCGTCATTTTTTGAAGGGTGAGGGGTCATATTATTTCCATGAAAATGAGATATGACAAAACTTACACAACTCTTTAGTTGTTCCCCTTAAAATGACCTAATCTCTAACTTCCAAATTTTAATATAACTTTTGAGTTTTGATGTTGAAAATGAAGATAAAAACTTGAAACATTTCCTTATCAGTTATTATTCATTCTTTTGATAAAAAAAACTTCCTTGGTTAGGGTCTGGATGGGGTTGCAGACTAGAAAATATTGGGCACAAAATAGGGGAGTAGAGAAAAACGGGGGGAAAAAGAACAGAAAAATAATAGGGTGCTAAAACATAAGGAATAAAGAACAATGGACAAACAAATAACGAATAGAGAATAATGGCATGAAAAATTAAAGAATACAGAAATGTAGACTCCGTCCAAACCTTTATTACTAAGCACAATAACTAATAATTTATGCAATGATACAGCTTTGCTACACATCAATCGGATGCATTTAGTTAATCACAATGAAGTAGAAAACAATCACAACTCAGATACTGCCCGAAATACTACCATATCTTTGTGCGCATGTGCACCTTTGAAAGACTAACCATATGATTAAAAATAGCGATCCCATAATCATACCCCACGATTTACAGTGTCTTCGACCTTATAAAAAAGTTAAAGAGCTAGATTTTATCGTTATGGAATATAAGTGTCATGGATATATTCAAACACTTTCCCAACTACAATTCTTTCCTCTCTTCCTCCATTGTGACATCACCGAATTTATTCTTACCATGAGCAACATGACGGGTGAAACATGTGAAGCAGGCTCTGTTTTCCTTTCGGAGCAAATGAGATCACCCCCGGTGTAAGGTGGGATTCGTGTTGTTCTAGTTTTCTATTCTTGTAAGTAAAGAACTTAGAATGAGAATGCATATCTCTAGTGAATTGAGACACAAACATATCGTACCGGTTACTTTCAGGCTTTAGGAGTGTCGTTCTACCGAATAACTCTGTTGGATCAGTTGTTTGTGTCAAGGGCACACCCTGTTGATAAAGCCCGTAGAGTGTAACATAAATGGGCCTAACGTATTAATTGAGACACTAGTATGTAAACGCCATAAGACGGAACAAAGGGTTTGTTACTACTGAGAAATGGAAGGTTGACAATTGGAATGCTAAAATCATCACGTTTGTTATATATAAGACGTATATGCAAGATCTAATAAATTTAGGACTAATATAAGGAAGGACTTTAATTGTGTTTTAGGTAGGAGCTGTCTATTGTTACTAAAATTTTACAAAAAATGTTAATTTATGGTAAACATATTGTTTTTTAATAAGTAATTGTGAATTTATAAAATCTGTTGTGATTAAGATGTTCTTTCAGTTCATTATTTGATATTCTAACAGCAATTTTTTTCTTTATTCTGAAATATGTTTGTCATATTTAACTATTTTATAAAATCAATGGTAATTTTTTGTAAACTATTAGAAGACTTTGGAAGACAAACTCTGTTTATATAATGGACATTTATGTATAATAAAAAAGAGACTTCGTTGAACGATGATTTCCCGTCATTTTTTGAAGGGTGAGGGGTCATATTATTTCCATGAAAATGAGATATGACAAAACTTACACAACTCTGTAGTTGTTCCCCTTAAACTGACCTAATCTCTAACATCCAAATTTTAATATAACTTTTGAGATAGGCAAATTGATATTTGATTGAAATGGGGCACACAGATACTGAATTCTCCCAGGAAAAATGGCTTTCAATGCTCTTTAACTTTATTTTTTTTAGGCCTTCAAACTGTTTTTATTCGAGCGCCACTGGTGAATCTTTGGAAGAAAAAATGCGAGTCCGGCGTAACAAATCATGGTATCTTTAATTAGTTTGAACAAGCACTGGGTCGATGCCACTGCCGGTGGTTGTTTTTCCCCAGTGATATCACCAGCCCAGTAGTCGACATTTCTGTGTTTACATGACATATCACTCATACTGTCATTTTCTTAAATTGAGTGTTCATAAAATGTTGAATTATTCGAAACATTAAGTTTTTTTCTACCCAGGCACAAATGAACGTATTTGATACCACTTTTTGGAACGTTTGGTTTTCAATGCTCTTCAACTTTGTATATGAATAGGCCTTGCAACTTCGTATTTGATTAGGCCTTAGAACTGCGTTAATACACTGTTATCCTTTTTTGTATATTATTCACTTGATTTTGAGTATATGCCTGAGGGCTGCTTAAGTGTTGTTGATTGTTTAGGAGTTTCTGATGAGTGAATGGATGTATAATGTTTTGTTATTTTGAAGAGCTGAAAATATTTTCTTGTCATCACATTATTTTGTTGCACTGAACATTCGTTGTTAAAATGAATAACGTGATTGATAGATGTGAGGTGAACACTAATGATACAACAACCATACGACGAAATAACCAGAAGACATCCGGAGAGAATCATTCAGTCTTTAGCAAAGAAATATGTGTACACACTATCTCAAATTGTATCTCGTTCCGAGTATATTGATTTAAAGTTATGAATAATTCAAACTGAAACTATCATGCAAAGATCTGAATCCTTCACCAGCTTTGACTATTCTTTCTTCTTTTTGGATTATAAGCTCTTCATTTTTTTAATAAGTTTTGGATTTTCAAATAGCTAGGCTTCGAGCATCACTGAAGAGAATCACCGAAGAGACATTTATTGTCTAAATGCGCATCTGGTGCAGAAAAATAGGTACCGTTAATGTTATTAAATACATCTTTAAGCTAATCCCTTGCTTACAGTTTTTTGTTTGTAAATGTTTTAGACAAATTAGAACAATAAAATATTCAGGGAAAAGAACCTTTAATTAGCTATCAGTTTACCCGATAAGAAAATGATTAATCGAAGTTACCAATAACCAGACGTTATTGGGATTATTTAGCAAGATCAAAGAAAATTATCAAATTTTGATGAAAACTTTTAAATGTTTGTACAAAGAGCGATAATTCAATAATCAAGTTTCAAACACAATAAGGATATCTAATTATGGAGTTTAATGAACGAATATTTAGCTCTATAAAATTGCGTTATGTGATTATCTGAATGTTTACATTGAAACGAACTATAGTATAGAAAATATTGACAAATAAATCACTATTTCATAAAATTACTATTTTCAGTTTTTTTGTGATGAATTAGTAATAATAAAATGACAAGTTTAACGAAAAGCAATATTTCTGTAACATTGGAATGGAGAAAATATGACAATTTGGCCTCTCGAATTCAAATTATTT